CTCAATTTTTACATGCCTCACAAATGATCATTAAGTGTTTGTGCTCCTTGCACACAGGCCTGGTGCAATGGGAACACCTGCTGATTTCGAAACTGGGCAGATTGTGCACTTCTTCCTCTTCATTTGGCCCTCCTGTCTGATGTCCACTTGCAGCTGGGTGGTGGCTGTTTTGTTTTAATACACACCTTCCCATGGCCTCAATTATATGCTTCTGGAGTTTGTTTGTGTCCTCCATGCACCTCTTCATATGTGGCATGACAAGCTCTTTGCCCAGCTCCTTGATAAATAGCCGGCATGCACCACCCATATGATCAGGGTGTTGTGCACTGAAGTTGGTGAAGGCACTGAGTGTAGCAACATCCAGCATAATGTACCAGAGAACCATGGGCCACCTCCTTGTTCTCCACAGACATGTGGAGAACAAGGAGGTGGGAGTGGCAGTTGTTAAACCAAAGATTTGGTCATTTGGTCCATTGTGTCCACTCCTTTCGTTTTATTGTAGTACTGGATCACTTCTGGTGTCTTCTTCTGACTGCTGTTATCCACTGCTTTGTCATCATGCATGGTACTCAGCAGAACAGCAGCCTTTCCCATCTTCTGCACATAGCTCACCATGGTCATGTTGCCATTTGGAATCCAAAATCCGAGCTATGAAGCTCCCGTGATTTAGATGGTTTCATGATAGGTGGTACGTCATGCTTGTTCTGGTGAAGAGTCCCAACTATGGTCAGGTTGTTCTTGAGGAGCTTCTCAGCCAGAGGGACACTGGTGAAAAAGTTGTTCTCACCAAATGCTGTAGTTTACTACGACACGCATGCATTTATGTATGCATGTCGTTTCTGACCCATGTGTGTAAACTTGATGTAGAATTACAAAAGCTGTGCTTGTTCATAACTTAAGAAAGGAACAATAAAAATTATGATTTGTGCTAAACAAAAACAAGATATTTAGTGCATATTTGGAAACGTAAATGATAAAATGAATTTATGTCAAAAGTATATCATAGAAACACTCAACCATACATGAAGTAATCTGGAAAATTAATGCGGGTCCTTGTTGACCCATTTTGTGCATTAGAAGGGTAGTGATACAAAAAGGGATTTTATTCAAAAAGTAAGAAAGGAAAATATAAAACAACTTTTAGAATCAGTCTAATTCAATATGGCTGCCATACCTAATCAACATCATCCAAATGGCTTCAATTTACTCCTTTTTATGTATTTTGAGCTAAAACTCTGTGTGGTAGTAGCTGAGAGTGATCCCCCACACCCATCCTCACCCGTTATACCAAACCATACCATACCATACCATTTTATTTATAGAGCACTTTAAACAGCTACAAGGCCAACCAAAGTGCTGTACAGACAGAACAACAGACAACATACAAAGCAAAATACAAAATGAAGTAAATCAAAAATATAGACATAAAAACAATGCAGATAATAAATATGATGACAAACCAGTGTGGAGCGTACAGGTTCAAAACACAGATCCTCTGGTGTTGAAAGCTAATGAATACTAGTGAGTTTTTAAACGGAATTTGAAAACCAAGAGGGAGGGCGCATGTCTGACAAGCAGAGGTAACTCGTTCCAAAGTATTGGTCCTGCTACAGAGAAGGCCCTATCACCTCTGTGCTTAAGATGAGTTCCTGGAACTGTGAAGAGCAACTGGTCCGTTGACCTCAGGGAACGCGGTGGGACATACGGTTGTAGCAGATCAGATCAGAGTGATAGGGGGTGCGAAACTGTTCAGCAATTTGTAGACATACAGGAGTATTTTGAACTGGATTCTAAGGTGAACCGGTAGGTAGCCAGTGCAGTGAGGCCAAAACTGGTGTAATGTGCTCTCTTTTGCCTGTACTGGTTAAAAATTGGGCTGCTGCATTCTGGACCAGTTATAGTCGTGCAATGGAGGTCTGACTGATACCAAACAGGAGTGAATTGCAGTAATCAAGCCTAGATGTAATGAATGCATGTATGACTGTCTCCAGGTTATTTTTGGACAATATGGGCTTCAGTTTAGACAGCCGCCTCAGTTGGAAGAAACATGACTTAACAATCATGTTTACATGATTGTTAAGTTTCAGGGAAGGGTCCATTATCACGCCCAGATTAGTGACTCTTTGTTTTTCTGACAGAGTTAGAGTGGAAAGGTTGATGCAATGGTTTGTGATCGTGTCTTTGGGAGGGAACAACATGACTTCAGACTTCTTTTCATTGAAACTTAAGAAATTTAAAGCCATCCAGTCCCTGATGTCAGCCAGGTAGTCGAGCAGAGGTTGAATAGAGCATGTACCATTGTTTCTTAGGTGGAAGTAAATTTGACAGTCGTCGGCGTAGAAGTGAAAGGGTATGTTGTGTTTCCGGAAGATAGCACCAAGCGGCAGCAGGTATAGAGAGAATAGGAGGGGACCCAGGATGGACCCCTGCGGAACCCCCCATTTAAGCTTTGTCGCTGCAGAACTAAAATCCTTGATGGAGACACTAAAGGATCTGTCAGCGAGGTAGGATCTGAACCAATTGAGGGCTGAACCTGTGATGCCCACCCACTGCTCTAACCTAGCAATGAGGATCTCATGGTCGATGGTGTCAAAGGCGGCTGTGAGGTCCAACAGGACAAGCAGCACAGAATCACCAGTATCAGTGGATCTGAAGATGTCATTAAAAACCTTCAATAAGGCAGTTTCAGTGCTGTGGAGAGGTTTAAGGCCAGATTGGAATAGCTCTAAGATGGCGTGATTCTCCAGGAAGCACTTCAACTGGGACTCTACTATTTTCTCCAGTAGTTTAGAAACAAATGGGAGTCTGGAGACAGGCCGGAAGTTGAAAACGACTGAGGGGTCAAGGTTTGTTTTTTTCAGGAGAGGCTGGACAGTAGCATGTTTAAAGGTTTTTGACACCACGCCAGTGGATAAACTACTGTTTACTATATCAAGAATGGACGGACCTAAAGTAGGAAAAACCTCCTTTAGTAGTCGAGGGGGGACCACATCAAAGGGGGAGCCAGAAGGTTTCAAGCTGCACATGACCTGCTCTAGAGAAGATAGTGATGGGTTCAAAATGGTCAAATGGAGCTACAGATGCGGTGGGATGGATGGGTCATGAGTTGGAGGGGAAATGAGAGCCCAGGTGGTCGCAATTTTTACCAAAAAGAAATGTAAGAAGTTGTCGCACAGCTCAGTCGAGGCTTCCAGAGGTGATGGTTCAGTGAGGTGGAGAACAGAGTAGAGAAGAGGACACGTGGGTTATGAGAGTTTGAGGTTATGATATCAGAAAAGTATTTGGATTTAGCAGCTTTTACTGCTTTCTGATAACGGTGTCAACTCTCTAAGTATTTGAAAAGAGACCTGCAGTCTGTCTTTCCTCCATTTGTGCTCCTACATTGCTGCCTAACGGCCTTGGTGACGTCACTCAGCCACGGTTATGAGTGACTTGTACTGTCATGAAATTCTGTTTTCAATGTTTAACCAAAAGAGCTACAACTCTGAAGATGATTTTAGCCTAAAACTCAAGCAAGAAAGGCTGCAGGCGATACAGAGTCCTCCGAGACTTGTTCTGTCTTTCATTCTGAAACAATAAAAAGGAAAATCTCTGAAACTTGTCTTAAACCAGTGACTGACATTATAAATCAAGTCTGCTTTGCATCTTGCCTGCCATCCTCTGCTGCCCTGCGTTAACTGTTTTCAACCACACACATGACTTCATAATGTGATAATAGAGGAGATAATGAATTATTTAAAATGTAGTCTACTTGTGTATGAGATTGAGTCTAGTCTATGCCTCATATGACCAACATCCACCTCACACAGCAGACAACATCTGGGGCTTATAATGTTTTTTTGTTTTTTGTTTTTTTCATGTTTAATAAAAGGCTACCTGGTCAGCATTAATGATGAGTTAAACTGTGTGTATGTGTGTGTGGTGAGAGGTTCATTCATCCTGGACTCCTGATGCGCAGTCAGGAGGAGCAGCCGTGCGTGGAGCGCTGCTCCTGAACGTCTCCTCCCCTGTTTCTGCAGTGTTCGGCTGCTTTTTCCTTCTCCTTCCGTCGTTTTCCTGTGCCAAAGCTGCCCACCCCGCCGGAGTAAGACACTTCCATTTGCACACACACACACAGCACCACTCTCTCTCCCTCCTCTTTTCTTTTTCTGTCCGCCACCATCCCTCTGCTTCATGTCCATCTTGTCCTGATCCGTGTGCCGTTTGCGTCCTCTCTCTTCTCCATTCACGCCTCCTCCCATGTGCGGTCTCTGCTTCTTTCCAGCTCAGACTGAGAAGGTAGGGGGGTTATTCCCCCCCTCCCCCCTTACACTCAGTGTATTTTTTTGACAACTTACACCTGGCAGTGTTGTGGAATTCCTGACTGAAACAAGCGAAGGAGGACAGAGAAAGCAATTTAATTTATTATTTTACGCACCAACAATCGCACGTAGACTGGAGGAGAGCAGGATTTTGGAAGGGGGGGATTTGAGAGGCTTCTTCAGAAGGCGTCGCGGCTGGGTTAAGTTTGCTGAGGTAAAGGCAGGGAAGGGGAGGAAAAATAGCGGAGAGCGGAGAGCTGGACGCGTCATTACCAAGACAGCAGCGCAACAAGCAAACAGCCTCCCAGCAGCCTGCTGTGTGGATGGCACACAGGGTGTCTTCCTCTGAGGAAGTGGTACAGGGGGTCCACGCTGGGACCGGGATCCAGACGAGGTTCGGGGCTTTATGTGAGTATCTGTCAGTGGGATCACTGTGCGCACCAGCTGGACCTGGGGTTTTGTCTGCGTCTCCAATTTAGTTACAGCAGCTACCACACATCCTTTGTGCATTCTGTATTCTTAGTGCATCTATGGGAATTTACTTGCATTATTTGCATCTCTTGCTGGCATGTTTGATGAGCTTATTCAGTCTCTGCCATGAGTAATGTTGCCCATGAAGCTGTAGTTTAGAGAATAAGGACCAAACTTTTATTATTGTGTGCATTAATTACAGGTGACCTGTGTTACAGAGCAGCATGAGAGATAAGTTCATCTCCTGAGGCCACAACTTCTAAGCCGGGCTGACTCACCGACATCTGCACCCAGGTGAGCAGTGCAGACTCACGACAATAAAAACAGGGTTCATAACTGCACACACACAGAAATAACTTGTTTTGTCTTCTCTATCCTCTGACGCTCCCAGCTGCATGCAAAACAGCTGCACACAATGTTTCTGCCACTGTCTGTTGAGTTTATCTCAACATATTTATTGCTTTTCTTTATTTTATTTTTTTTATTACACTTCCTTCTAACAGTGAGGATGACATTATTAAAGACGCTTGTCACCATTTAATGAGTGCACACACCCTCAAAACAAGAGCGGCATCCAAATGACTCACACTATACAAGTGTTTATTTGCCAAGCTCAAATCTTTGTTTAAGCAGGCAAAAAAATAATAATAATAACTTGTGGGTGAAATTATTCAGGACAAATGGTTTGAGATTGTAGCCATGTTAATTTTGAGTTAAAGTGATTTTTTTTCACCTTTATTTAACAAGGTATGAACACAAGACACGTTCTTATTTACAGTGCTGGCATGGCAATCACCAGGCACTTATAGAGTCAAGGGAAGGGAAACAATACAGTTAGGTAAAACTATAAAATACACAGTCAGTAAAGGAATCACAAATTACATAAACTGTTCATTGTCAAAGTTAAACGATAAGAGCACTAAACATGAAAACACTTGCAAGTATCTTTAAAATGGCTTTTAAACAATTTTTGAAACTAGAAACTGAGACAAAGGAGGTCAAACCCAAAGTTTTTTGAAGCAGGTTCCAGTCAGAGCGAGACTTGGTCTTTAGAGTTGTTAACCACAAATACTGAGAGGATCGGATGTTTCACTTCGAAACTAGTGCTAGTTGCAGTAAATGGATTGTACTTATACAGCGGCTTTCTATCTTATTTCAAGATACTCAAAGTGCTATACACCACAATCTGTGTCCTCATTTACCCATTCATACAGCACTCTACTAGAGCTCTACAAAGCTAATTGAACAAATCATTCTAAAGAGACTAGTCAGTGCTTTTTAGATCACATTTATACACTGATGAGACACACATCAGAGGCTATGAGGGGTTCAGTGTCTTGCCCAGGAACACTTTGACATGTGACTGCTGGTGGATTCGAACCCCCAACTCTCGCATTGGAGGACGACTGCTCTAACCACTCAGCCACAGCCGCCCCAGTAGATTAGTCAAATATTGTATGGAGGTAAATAACACAGCAACATCTTATAAATGAGGGTAAACCAATGAATTTCACAACGAGTATGTAGAGAATTTAACAAGAGAGTAGAGGTGACAATGATGTGCTCTATAAGGAGCATTTGTAGCAAAGCCAATAGCAGAGTTATAAATTTTGTCCAGCTTACGAAGGACACCCTTAGAAGCATGTCTGTAAATTATGTCTCCATAATCCAACACAGGTAGAATGTTTTTTTGGACAATGGTGCGTTTTGCAGCCAACGTGAATGAAGATCAATTTCTATATAGATAACCAAGTCTCGCTTTAACCTTAGATTGCAAAACATTAACATGATGTGAAAAGGACAGAACACCATCAATCCAAATTCCCAAATATTTATAAACCGTCTTCTATAAAATCACCGTTTACAGTTGTGAAGTCCACTGAGGTGGGTATGGTTCTTCCTCCATGACTGGACCACATAATTTTAGTTTTCTTGACATTTAAGGACAAATTGAAGTCAGTAAAGGCCTGCTGGGTTTCAAGAACATCACATGCAAGAGATGTCACAACCTCATCCAGAGTAGAACCAAAAGCACATAAAATAATGTAAACAGCATTTAAATGAATGGAGGCCTCACAAACATAATGCGAGATATCATTTATAAATATGGAGAAAAGAGTTGGTCCAAGAATGGAGCCTTGGGGAACACCTGACCTAACTGGAAAAAACTGAATTTGTGAAAAGTAATACCATCTGCCTTTCAAGTTAAAGGTTTAGCCTTTTATGTTTAGAAATGTTGGCGTTGTAGCCTTCTTGGTCAAACCTTGAAAATATTATGTGCAATCTCATGCAAGCACGTGTTGTGAATGACTCTCAGCTACTACCACAGCAAATGCAAGCTCATTGTCTGTAAAATTGACTGAGTTAAAGCCATTTCTGAGTTGTGTGTGTTGTCATTTTGAATTGTGATGACCCCAAAGCATAATCAGTTGTTAGTGTATATCAAGTGACTAATTTCTGAATGTTTCATTAAAATCCATGTAGTTGTTCATGAAACATTTTGCTAACAGACAAATAAGAATGAGAAGCACTTGTAGTATGAGCAGTAAGTGACTCTCAGCTACGATGAGATCCGATTTTAGGTCAAGCTGTGTGAAAATGGCAGAGTTACAACCATGCTTGTCCATTTTTATGCCAATTAACAATAGCAGCCATTCTTTAATTGGGTTGCTTCAATGGTTCATCAATTATAGATGTACATTTGATGAATGTTTTCTGAAGGTTTCATTCAAATTTGGTTGGTGGTTCATGAGATGTTTTGCTAACAGACAAATAGCAACTTTGAAGAGTAAATGACAAAATTTTAAACAAAGATCTTGCACAATCTGTCAGTGCACACAGAGTATCATTCTCAGCTGCAACCACCACAAACATTAGGTCAATATATGTAAAACTGACTGCCCTATTGCAATTTTTGTGTGGCAGCCATCTTGAATCAATTTGACACCTAAAGTTAATCAGTTGTCGATTTACATCCAGGGTTTATGAACTGAGAGCTTCATTGAAATCCTTTCAGTGTTTCAAGAAATATTTTGCTAACATATGCACACACACACACACAGCACCCAGATACATGCAAAAGCAATATCCCAGTATGAACTCCTTAGAATCAATAAAATACATCAAGGGTTGAATATTTCACTTTAAATTTTTTATTTTACTGCAGATATCCAGTTAAACTAGCCCAAACCTTTATTTGGATGTGAAGTATTTCACTGAACACATTATGTCTCAGTGCAGTGAGAAGAAACGTTTTTATTCTAGCTGGTGCACCAGTTGGACAGCTTGCTTTTGCCATAGAAACATCACCCACTCACACATTTGTGCAGCGACGTGTGCCAGATGAAAGCACTTGTGTTCAGTTTGATTTTGTGCATCTGTATTTGACAGCGATCAGTGATTGTCCGACCTGCTTGCTGCTCGGTGCTGACCTCGCCGGTGTTTCTCTCAATGCAATGACGAGCACACAAACTGTTGGTTCCACAGAAACAGTCGTCATTCATTTATGAGCTTGGGAGGGCGGATTATAATTTCATCATCTGTGTCGTACTGCTTCTTCCCGAGATGAATTCTCAGAAGGAAGCATGCACTCCCATTATAGGTCAGAGTGCAGGCTGGAGCTTCTCTCCGCTGCATGTCAATGTGAGCCTGTGCTGAACAGAAACCACACATCACATCACCCTGCTGATCTTAGGAAACCTACTTTGGAGAAATTCATGTTTAGATTTGTAGGTACCAGATTAAATTAGCTGACATTTTTTTGTGTTTTTTGCTCAGCTGCAGATGTTAATCCTCTGAATAGTATGTGTGGAGTGAATTATTCATTCATGCTGTTAAAAGGCTGCTGCCAAGAAAACCACTGTGGAATTAGTTTAGGCTTTCCCATGATGGAGCTTAAACTCGAGGTGTTTACTGCATTTTAGTATTAAACTGTATATACCCTGCTGCATCTGAGATATGTGAAGTTTTGCTTCTGTCTCTTTCCTTGTTCTAATTAGTAAAGACTATTTTTGGACTGTGATCTAAGTTGTGGGTATGTGCTGGCTTAGTTTTTCCCCTTGATACTACAAGTTTCAAAGAGTAACAGTTTTTTCTGTTTCTTGGTGTGCGATGGACACATTATACAGTATGTGTAGGTGTTTGACCGGGTTGTTCAATACCAGTGACTCAAACATAAGTAGGTGCCAATATTTCAGGCTCACTGAATTCGGACTGAACAAACTGTCAGATCACACATCATTTCATACAAAAGAGTCCAAACTTTGAATGCTTTTGCTATGTAAAATCTGTGCTTGTCGAGGTTATTTCAGGAGAAGAATAATGGACATAATTATCATCTAAGCCTGAATCATTTTTTCTTCTTTTTTGCAAAGGTTTGCTTGAACCTTCGGATGTGAAGTCATATGAGTTTCAGCGCCAGCAGAGTCCAAGTCCCATCAGAGCAACATGATTCTCAGCTCGTGTACGTTCATCTCTCTTTTGCTGGTTCTTCTCCCAGGAGTCACTTATTTATCTGATGGCAGCTCTGGTCATGAAGGCATTAGCACTAGCGCCCCTGGGAACTGCTCCAGTGAGGACAACTGCTCAGAGGGCGTGGTTCTACCTTTGTGGAACCCCCAGAACCCTGCAGTTGGCGACAAAGTGGCACGTGCCATTGTCTACTTTGCAGCTCTTATATATATGTTCCTGGGCATGTCCATCATTGCCGATCGCTTCATGTCTTCGATCGAGGTCATTACCTCTCAAGAAAAAGAGATCAGCATCAAAAAGCCAAATGGTGAAACCACAACAACCACTGTTCGCATCTGGAATGAGACTGTGTCCAATCTGACGCTGATGGCTCTGGGCTCCTCGGCACCGGAGATCCTGCTCTCTGTCATCGAGGTGATTGGCCATAATTTTGAAGCTGGAGCTCTTGGGCCCAGCACCATTGTGGGCAGTGCTGCATTTAACATGTTCATCATCATTGCCATCTGTGTCTACGTGGTGCCAGAAAACGAGACCCGCAAGATAAAACACCTAAGGGTCTTCTTCGTCACTGCCGCCTGGAGCGTGTTCGCCTACATCTGGTTGTACCTCATCCTGTCAGTGTTCTCCCCCGGAGAGGTGGAGGTTTGGGAGGCAGTCCTTACATTCCTCTTCTTCCCTCTCTGTGTGCTTCAAGCCTGGATTGCAGACCGACGCCTGCTCTTCTACAAGTACGTCCGCAGGCGTTATCGCGCTGACAAGACCCGTGGCATTATCATTGAGTCTGAGGGAGACGCCATGTTCACTAAAATGGACTTAGAGATGGACGGGCAGGGCTCAAACTCCCACACCCACAACAAGGAGGCTCTGGATGGGATGTTGGAGGGAGTAGAGGAAGGTGGAGGGACAAGTGCAGAACAAGATCAGGAAGAGGAAGCCCGTCGAGAGATGGCACGCACCTTGAAAGAGCTAAAACAGAGGCACCCAGAGAAAGACATGGAGCAACTGATTGAAATGGCCAACTACCAAGTGCTGATTCAACAACAAAAGAGTCGGGCTTTCTATCGAATTCAGGCCACACGCATGATGATCGGAGCTGGTAACATTCTGAAGAAGCATGCCGCCGACCAGGCCAGGAAGGTGGTGAGCTGCCATGAGGCCAGTGGACAGGAGGAAGACCCCCACACAATCTACCTGCAGTTTGATCCCTCTCACTATCAGTGCTTTGAGAATTGTGGTTCCCTGAAGCTCTCGGTGAGCCGGCATGGAGGAGAGGCTGGCTGCACTGTGAAGGTAAAAGGAAATATTGCTGTAATATAAATGCTCAACTGTATGTAACTGGTTGATGTATAAAACATTAACCAGTCAGCATTTTATCACAGCCTCACTTACTAAATGTTTAATTAGGTTTGTTTCTCTTTGCCACACAGGTGGACTACCGGACAGAGGATGGGACTGCCACTGCAGGCTCAGACTATGAGTTTGCTGAGGGCACTTTGGTCTTCAAGCCTGGCGAGACAACAAAAGAGTTTACGGTTGGTGTTATCGACGATGACATCTTTGAAGAGGACGAGCACTTTTATGTGCGCCTCAGTAATCCACGTATTGTGCACCGGGCTGAGGTCTCCATCCTGGAGCCTAACTCCATCACCTCCAGCAACAGCACTGTCGGCCTCTCCTCCCACGTCCCGCCAAAGGCCGCCCTGGGCAATGCTCCTGTTGCTACAGTCACTATTTACGACGATGACCATGCTGGCATCTTTACGTTCGAGAGCAAGTGCACAAGGGTTAGCGAGAGCATCGGCAATATGCAGGTGAAGGTTCACCGGACATCCGGTGCAAGGGGGAAGGTGGCCGTGCCCTACCACTCCGTTGAGGGTACCGCCAAAGCTGGGGAGGACTATGAAGATGTTTCCGGCAAGCTGGAGTTCCAGAATGATGAGACCATGTGAGAACCATTTTCTCTTTTCTATGCTGTCTTGCTGTTGCTCCTCATCACTTGATTAAACACCACAACCCACACATTGGTTATGCTAAACAGCACAGCTAGATTACTGTACGCTATCTATACTGGTAATGGATGAAAGGTCTATTTTTATGAGTCACAGATCTGTTCGCTTGGAGAAGTTTAGATCTTATGGGGGTGAGGAGGTGGGAGGATAAGAGGATGTAATTGTGCAACAGATAATGACACATTGTGGCTGATGCAAAAGAAGAAGCAGATCCTCTCCATGAATGAATATAAAATTAAAACGCCAGCCTTTGGGGATGTTGAACTTTATTGTGATGCTGCAGGGTAGAATCCTCCACAGAAATCAGTAGAAGTGCAAGTGAGAAACAGAGTAGTGAGGGGAAAATCAGACAGGTGACTTTGCACTGGAAAAGAGGAAGGAATGAAGGTTGAATGGCTTCTGAGAACAGGTGTGTGAGATAAAGCCTGTGTGATTATTTTTAAAAAAGGATTTCTGGATGCTCCGGCAGAGAGAGGCAGGTGAAAAAGATCAACAGGGAGGAGTAGCGCTCAACAAGAGAGAGCGAGAGAGCTAAAAGTGGGATGTTTTCCAGTTTTTCTCTTGCACCCTGTGTGGCAGCGTTGGCTGAATGATGTCTACATGAGCAATGTTTGCTTTATGGCAATACAAATTATTTGTTCTCACTTAGAAAACAAACTAGCAGAATGACCTCAGATATGTCAGGTTCAGCACAGAATGATTTACAGCTCAACAAAGGATAGAAGAATACAGAATAAAATGTGTGAGATGAAGCTCTCTGCGCGAGGAGAATTTCATGTGTAGGTGTTCTGAGTGGGCCGGCTGAGTGGGAGTGAAGGCAGGTGAATACATAGTGTCAGAGAGAAAACTGAGCTCCCTGCTTCTCTGTTTTACCTCACAATGGAGGAGAGATCTGAGAGAGATATATCTGTGTGTTTATCAGTTTGCTTGTTCACTCGCATCTTTATTGTCCACATCTGATAATGTTTGGGCCTGAGTCTGCGTGTGTGTGTCTGTGTGGCATCAGAAAGGACAATCAATTACCAAATCTTTCATGTGAGTTTGCTGGCTGTTGTGACCCGTGCAGAAGCGAGATGCCGTTTAAAAGAAAAACAACAACTGTGTCTGTCTGTTAGCAGAATATCTCATTTACCACTTGATAGATTTTATTGAAACTCTAATAAGTAATCATTTGATGTACATCTATGACTGATAAACCTTTGGAATCAACCTAATTCAATATGGCCACCACAACTAATCAATACTGAAAAGCACAATTTACTGTAACTCTAGCAGTTTTACAGAAACTGGGCTAAAGTATGGTGTGGTCATAGCTAAAAGTAAATCATAGTACATATGAGCGCTAAATGTTCGCACAAGATATTTGCTTAAAATGTTGCAATTAACTACAGGAGTCAGCCTAGTCTGTTAGCATAATATCTGGATTTCACAGAAAACAGAAATGTTTGAAAGTAATCAGCTGGTATAGATCTACAACTACGTACTGAACCTTTGAGTTCAGCTTTACACAAGATGGCTGTCAAAGATAACAGACTGTAAAAATCCCATAAACTGATAAAATATTTTAATTTTACAATGAGGTTAAATTTAATGTGGTTGTAGCTCTAAGTAATCTATAACATACTCTGATTGCAACATAGTGTGAAAGAGTTTTATTTAAGACCTTACCATTAACTGCTGGATTCAACCTTGTTTGTCTGTTAGCAAAATATCCCATGAATCACTTGACTGGTTTGAACAAAAGTCTCAGATATGATTCATTGGATAAATACCTACAACTGCTGAACATTTGGAGTCAACATTTGGTTGGCACAGCTAATCAACCTTGACAAACACAAAATGACTACAAGTCAATCAGTTTTACAGATGCTGAGCTTAAAATGTGATGTGATAGTAACAGAGAGTTATCCTCAGCGTATACAGTAGTCTCTTGCTACTTCGCGGTACATTTTTCACGGACTCGCTCTATAGCAGTTTTTCAAAATAAGATTGGATGTGACACACAATTGGCTGATTGATGGATGAGCCGCACAATCAACATGAAATTTTTATTTAAAATAAATGATTTAAAATTAGGGCAGCACGGTGGCGCAACTGGTAGAGCTGCTGCCTCTCAGCGAGCAGGTCCTTGGTTCAAACCCCGGTCCAGGGGCCTTTCTGGGTGGAGTTTGCATGTTCTCTCCGTGCATGAGTAAGTTTTCTCCGGGTACTCCGGTTTCCTCCCACAGACCAAAAACATGCATGTTAGGCTGATTGGTAACTCTAAATTGTCCCTAGGTGTGAGTGAGAGAGTGAATGATTGTTTGTCTCATTTGTCTCTATGTGTCCCTGTGATGGACTTGCGACCCATCCAGGGTGTACCCCGCCCCTCGCACAGTGATTGCTGGACATAGGCACCAGCGACCCCCGTGACCCAAAATGGAATAAGCGGGTAAAGATAATGGATGGATGGATTTAAAATTATTTAGCACCTGTTGCACCTTTGTGCAGCCCAGAGATGCAGGAGAAGCTTCCTGAATCTCTGCAGCGGAGAAGTGGGCATGCCCAAGCTCTGGTAGATGGCAGAGAACAGCGGAGGCAGAGAGCTGAAATCATGATATTCTGTGTGTGAGTGTGGGAAGGGTTTAAAACGCCTTTACACACACACACACACACACACACACACACACACACACACACACACACATATATATATATATATATATATATATATATATATATATATATATATATACACACATACACTAAAATAAACTACTACTTACTACTTGTACTACTATTTCTATTTTGTGGTTTTTCACTTATTGCAGGACTTCAGGGTACGGATCCCTGATACTTTGAGTTGTAACAAATCAGTTTCATGTCAAACTGCATGTAACTTTATTTGCAAGATTTACTCAAAATGATTATAAGTTCCTCCCTTCTCACGAAACAATGGTTTTAATTTTAAAGTCCTGCATGAAAGGTGGCAGACGATTATTTCTTTCATGAATGTTTGGTCTTTAATGAAATTTGCCTTGCTGTTATTTACACATCAGCCTGTGTGTACATGATTAGGAGCAAACGTGTGCAGAGTCCACTTTAAACCAACGTCAAACAAAATGTCACTCCAAAGGGAGAATTAAAAAGAGCTTCTTTAGCATCCTGAGCAAACAAAGAGAGTGAAGAGGGGTTAAAGGAGTCCCCAAAGTTTTGAGCGTGCTGCAGACAGCTACAGAGGCTGCAGATAATGAGTCCGGGGTGCATAACAATGTGGGATGAGAGGCTTGGATCAGCATTCACATGGAGGCTGAGCTGCAGCTAAGATCCTCGGCTGCTGAACTTAGATCCTGCTTGTAGATTGTAGCATGCTCAGAGCGACACAAACTTTCTGTCAGAGTCATCATGCAGCAACAGAGTACCCCCTCCCAAAAAAAGAGCAGGATCCAACAGAGATACTCAACCAGAAGCTGATGAAAGGACGCAAGATGCAGATGTAAGGGAAAATGCCGACGCTGTGCTCAGCTTCTCCTGCGCCCCTTAGATTAAAAAGTGGGTGAAGGACTTAAAGGGGAGTGCAGCAGTGCTTTGATCATCAGTGGAAGTGTTTGACTCAGATCTCAAATCCCAGTGGGCAAGTCTAGTGTAGTCACAGCAGCCTTCTTATCTTTGGAGTTCAGTTCTGGGTAAATAATTTTTTAATTCTATCTGAATGAAAATCTGTTCTCTCTCTATGAGCCACCTGAGGCTGTTTAGTGAGGGTGCTTCGATGCTGCCCTCCACCCCCCGACCCCATCCGCTCATTATTCTTCCAGTAACAGCAAATTTATATTTGCTACTTTTGTTGCAGTTTTGAAAAACCCATGTACAAATATGCTAAGATATTCAGCTTGATTGTGAAACACACCTTTTGGCTTTTAGCTGCAACGTGAAGTCACAAATTTAGCAAAAACTAAGAGAACAATGAAATGTTGGAGGAAGCCGGTCCTGTTTAGAGCTCCGTAACTCACAGTAGGAGCATCATTCAACATTTAAACAGGTCACAGAAAGTTCAGCTTTATAAAACAGAAATGACATTTTGATATCTTTAAAGCTTTTTACACAACACTGCTTAGAGTGAGATGATTTTTAACAGATGTTGCCAACAAAATATTTTTACTCCCACAAACTTCACATTTCTTCCAGTCTACACATCAAAATATGACTTTTATTTTACTTTTATCCAGTGTGTCTCTCACTGCTGTAGGACTTGTTGTTGTCCCTCGAGTTGCTGAGTGCGCACGTTCAAACTCTCATTGACTTCCTTTGTATCTGAGCTCAGACCTTCAAAACTGGAAGGATCGTTCTAAACTGTCACATCACCTACAAAAAATGCTGCAACACATAAATATGGCAATGCTTTTTAAATTACCACACAGTTTTACTTTATTTTACTTTGTGAGCTGTTTCTATCAGAATATCTATGTATATTTCTTCAGTACCTTCTGCTGTGGCAATAGCTGTATTGGCTTCCTTGTCGAAGTCTACTAACTGTTACTCTGATTCCTTCTTTACTCTGATATTGTACTGACACTAATTTTATTTTAAGCTGTTTAACTGATTTGTCCATTATCATCAGTTAAACAAACGGTAGGCGATTGTTCTCTGTCACTGAGGGATTTGAATAGTGAATGTTTGTACTGTAGTTTACGAGTTGAGTGTTTTTCTGGACTGAAATTGAAGAAGCCATTCAAGTGAGTATACAATGTACTTTGTACATAAGAACAGAGTTGTTTTTCTTGTCTGAGGCGGCGCCGAGTGACAGATCCTGGCTTGTGCAGGATCCATCACCTTTTATTTGATTAAGCAATTTTATCCACCATCAGGTGCAATGGTGGAGCCAGGGGGTGGCCAATGGTGGCCTTGGCCACCATAGGTTAATCTACAGCCACCCCAATCATTTGAGGAAATTATACGT